CAGTGGGTTGGCAGGAAGCAAGGACTGCTAAGCTATGCTATACTTTTATTTAAGAAACCAGATTTCTCTGTAATCAGACCCAAGCTATTTATTGTAGTATGTAACTAAGAACATGGGGTCTGCAAACAGATTACCTGGGTTTAGATCTCAGCCCTATCTCGTATTACCTGTGAAACTTCAGGTGGTTAATCTCCCTTTGTCTTAATTTCCTCATTTCTAAAGTGGTAATGATAAGAATAACTACTTCATAGGGTCTTTGTATGAATTAAAAGAGTTAATGCATGGAAAAGGATTAGGAAAATGCCTGGTTCATAGTATGCTCTTGGTACAAATTATCTTATTATTATTTTCCTAATCTTATCTCCTAGGGCAGAAAAGATAGTATGCTCTTGGTACAAATTATCTTATTATTTTCCTAATCTTATCTCCTAGGGGAGAAAACCTAACAGAATCCCCTAGCATAATAATTGTGTATAGATTTTCTTTCTTAACTTGTGTTTAAGCTTTGCAACATTGGGGTGGAAATTGGGGGTAGGGATGGGCAAGGTGCATTACTTCTGAAAGTAGCAGTTCTTTCTGTGGAATCTGAAAATTAAAGGAGCAATAGAATTCATGCTTAGTATGTCTTAGATTGCTTATGTCCTATGTCTTAGATTGCTTATGTCCTAAGTATCTACTGGTATTTTCAGAGTTTCAATTACAAAATGGCTGAGCGATATAACTTGGAGAAGAAATCAATTTGGGCATTCACAATAAAACTTAATAAAGAGAATTCATTAAGAGAAATGCTTTGAGGTCTCTTAATGGACTCTTCTCCCATAAAGAAGGAAATGACAAATAATGTTGGTGTGTTGAGTGCTTGCAAAGAAGCTTTTGTGTGGCCAGAACTGGAGCGCTCCCAAATACTGTGGTGTCTTGGCAGCAAGAAACAAGTCTCAGTAAACTCTCACTTCCTACTTTCATTCTTATTGCTTTGTAATTTCTTAATGACTTTCTGCTTTGTTGTATTTTTTTAAAAAATTATTCATTGACATATAATATATAGTGAGAGAAGTATATAAACCGTGTGTACAACCAATGAATTTTTACACTAATGTAACCAATCTATGTAGGAGAAGGGTTGGCAAATTACTGTTCGTAGGCCATAACCAGGCCACTGTTTTTGTGAATAGCATTTTATTGGTACGCAGAAACACCATTTTGTTTTGTTTTTGTTTTTGTTTTACATATTATCCGTAGTTGCCTTTGCATTACAGCAGCAGAGTTGAGTAGTTTTGACAGACTGTATGGCCTGAAAAGCCAGAAATATTTACTGTCTGGCTCTTTACAGGGAATGTTTTCCATCCTGTGAGCTAGATCAAGAAGTAGAATATTGCCACTGTCACAGAGGCTCTTTTGTCTCCTCTTGCAGTCATAACACCCTCCCTAACCACTTTCCTGACTTCTAACATCATATATTAATTTTGCCTTTTTTTAATCTCCACATACATGGAGTTGTACATGCCTTTTTTCATTCAATATGATGTTGATTAGATTCTTCCATGTTGTTACAGGTTGTAGTACTTCATTTTCATTGCTGTATAGTATTCCTAGAGTGTGTACCTGAAGCAAAATTATGAAAGAGGCACAGTTTGTTTTTGATAACCACTCCCATTTTTCCTTTAGTTGTATTTTTTTTCATTTCCACTCCGAGATGCTCCCCAACTTTCTCCTCTGTCCCCCACAGAACCCCCTAAGTCCCCACCAACCAATCTCTCAACTCTCCCATATCCTTCTAACATCATATATTAATTTTGCCTTTTTTAAATCTCCACATACATGGAGTTGTACAATACATACTCTTGTAAGTGCCTTTTTTCATTCAATATGATGTGGATTAGATTCTTCCATGTTGTTACAGGTAGTAGTACTTCATTTTCATTGCTGTATAGTATTCCTAGAGTGTGTACCTGAAGCAAAATTATGAAAGAGGCACAGTTTGTTTTTGATAACCACTCCCATTTTTCCTTTAGTTGTATTTTTTTTCATTTCCACTCTGAGATGCTCCCCAACTTTCTCCTTTGTCCCCCACAGAACCCCCTAAGTCCCCACCAACCAATCTCTCAACTCTCCCATATCATGAAATGTACTTGTGAGCACCACTAAAGCACTTCCTAACTTTCTGACATCACAAGATATTCCAGGCTCATCTGGTATTTTCTCTACCATAGCTCTGGAATCAAACATTTCTCCAAGGATGTCTTGTCCTTTTATTAGACAACTAGAGGCATGATGCATAAAATTCATGCAAGAATAGGCCTTCACAGCCCCAGCTTCATCTGGAAGGTCGTCCCACTGTTCGGTTGATTTTCATATTATGCTTTTATTATTATAGATGGTATATAGAAAACCAGATCTTGGACCTTAGGTATGATCATTGCTCCTAGGCCCAGGACTGCCTCTTTTTTCAATACCTGCCCATCTTTCTGTTCCCTGTGCTTTGGTATTAGGAGGGGAATATGAGTTAAAACAATGAGAAATTCATATTATTCTTTCGAAAATAATCATGGGAAACCAATACACTTGTTTCGTTTTTCCTCCAGTTCTTCAGTTTGGATTCACAACTATCTTCGTGGCAGCTTTTCCCCTAGCACCACTTCTGGCCTTACTGAATAACGTAATTGAAATTCGACTTGATGCTTACAAATTTGTCACACAATGGAGGCGACCTTTAGCTTCAAGGGCCAAAGACATAGGTAAGTTGGATGTGTTTTAAAAGATATCAACCATTCGGAAGATAAAATAAAAACAACTATGAACTTTAGATTTTTTTACTTATGGCTCCCATGTAAGGTGATTCAACTAACTCTTGCAAAAGAATAATTGTGTTAGCTTTAAATAATATCAGATAAGAAGTAGAGCTGCCTATTTGGAGACTTATCTCTTCCAGTGCTAGAAAAGTTATACTTAAAAATAGAGTCTCAATTTAGTTATTTCTATCTTAAGACTGGAATCTAAATTTTTGATTATCCCTTATTTTCTTTTCTAAGTAGATCTTCCAGCTTAACTTAAAAGTGTGAGTCACATGAGGCATGATCCCGTTTCCCTAAAGACAGAGATGACCTTTGGTCTTTGACTAGAGATGCTGAGTTGAATCAGGTGCAGCCTCTTGAGAGCTGCCTGTGATCAGAGTCTGACTTGTATTCACTTCTGCATCCAGTACTGAGTCCAGGGCAGGCAGGTGCTCAGCCAGTGTGTGGGGAAGAGGCTTGAGTGTGGGTGTGTTTGGCTCACAGGGGTCTTTTAACCTCCATAGGAAATAAACACACATTCAGTGAGCACCTCTCCTGGGTCAGTGTGTCAGGAACTGGACCCGCTGATGAACCAGAGGAACCCTGTCTGTACCCCTAAGGAGCTGGTGGCAGCATGACATTGCATGTGCCAGCCTTATCAGAGGGGGCTTGGGTGCCTTATCTTTGACCAGAATTCTCTATGTATGCCTGATCCTGATTGAGTTTTTAAGTCATGAGTGTTGGCACTTTCACAGAAAACTCCTTCATTGCCAAGTGTTCGCAAGTACACATTCTTACTCCTGTTTGCAAATGTATTGGGGAAGATGAAAGGACCCTTAGAAAGACCTATTTAAAATTAGTCACCTTGGTTAATTTCATACTTAGTACCTCTGCTGTGTGTCTGGAATTAATACAACACTTCTCTTTGAATAGGAATTTGGTATGGAATTCTTGAAGGCATCGGAATTCTCTCTGTTATTACAAATGCGTTTGTCATAGCGATAACATCTGACTTTATTCCTCGCTTGGTATACGCTTATAAGTATGGACCTTGTGCAGGCCAAGGAGAAGCTGGGCAAAAGTAAGTTTGCTGTAAAACCATCATGGAATCTCCGTTGCCTAGCCATTGTGTGGTGTTAGGCACTCAGACAGAAACCTCTGCATTGGAGGAATTGGGTCACAAACCTGGGACACGAAGGCCTGTGGTGGGGGAGGTGGAATTATGATTATAGCACTTTCTGTCAAAGTGAACGCATCCTGAGCTATTAAAGGAATGGCAGTCAGACAAGTTTTAAATGGAATCCAATGTGAGAGCAACAATTAACCATTTTCCTCATGCCCTAACGACTATAAATTCAGAAATGGGTGGTGTGGCATTGTAATGTGTGTAGCAGAACAGTGGTACAGGATGTAGTGTAGATAAATGGCACTTCTATGAGTTTGTAAAAGAATAGCTATGATCCGGTTCCCCTTATGTCTTTATATGTAGACTCTGCACATTCTATATGGGAAATATGTAATCCTGTGCTGAGTACCCACGAGGTACTCAATAAATATTTGTGAAATAAGTAACTGAATGATTATTTCCTGGCTATTGACATGACCAGTGTCTACATAACTGCAAAGCAAATTGGGTGAACTCGACTCCCTCGGAGCTCAGTTCTGTGGCATCATCTCAATGGTTCCCAAAGCCAGAGCTCTGTATTTCTGGTCAGAGAAAGCCTTGGCAAAATTATAACATGTCCCCTGGCTTTCACTGGTATACCCTTGAAAAAAAGATAAGAAATCTTAACATATTTTCATGGACAGTATGTCCCTGTTTGGCTAATGTCAAAATAATCTAATTCAAATTGTGGGATTTATGTGTCTGTTGTTCGGAGTGGGGTATGTGCTGGGATCATAGGGTATTCTCAGTGCTCCCGAAATCATCCCACATGGGCTGTTGCCTACTCATATAAGCAGTCCTGCCTTCTGGTTTACTAGTCTGAGCCAAATTAATTCATTTTCTACAGCCATTGTAGTTCAAGTAGCCCCAAGGAGTCAAGTGCCACTGAATCAAGACAACTGAATTAATGTACCCCTGGCCTAGGTCTAATTTCATTAATCCTACGTAAATACTCTAAGGCATAGATGATCAAATACAATAAAGCTCACAGTGCAGCTATTTGAAGAGGCTTTTATAAAGTTCTTTACTACATTAACCTGTGGCCATTAAACACTAATTATCTAGCAACCTTAAGTGAGCATACCATCCCATTTTAAGAGAGATTTAAAGACTTATGTTGTAGTACCCATACATTTAATTCTAAGGGTAACTGTTGTTAACATTCTCTTCTTGACGTAGCCTAAAAAAAGCTTACCTTTATTCAAACCACTTTCAATATGTTTTGCATTTGACTCTCAAAACAAACCTGGTTATGAGTCACGCATTATTACCCTTACTTTGAAGAGGAGAGACTAAGAGAAGTGAGTATAATATTCACAAGTTCCACCTATGTTGTTGCAAATGGCAGTATTTCATCTGTTCTTATGGTTGAGTAGTATTCCATAGTATATATGTACCACATTGTCCTTATCCAGTCCTCTATCAAAGGACATTCTGGTTGTCTCCAGGTGTTAGCCAACGTGAATAATGCTGTAATGAACATAGAGGTGCATATATTTTTGCGAATAAATGTTTTTGAGTTTTTCAGGTAGATACCCAGAAGAGGGATCATAGGGTAACTCTATTCTTAACGTTTTAAGGAACTACCATACTGTTTTCCATAGTGTCTGTATCGATTTAGTAGTAAAGGATAAAGGGGGCCAGATATATTTTACTTTGGACAGTGGAAATACAATGCAATATACAGATCATGTATCATAGAACTGTACACTCAAAACCTACTAACCAATGTCATCCCAATAAATTTAATTTTTTAAAAAGCTGTAAAATCATTTTGTCTAAAGAGAGAGAAAAGTGAATCCAGAATCATAAGGCAGTGTAGCTGTTGGAGCCCACATGAAGATACTAAGCCTAGACTCATGCAGTACTCTCCATCCTGAACCATATAGTCAGCTGGTTTTTCAACAGAAACTTTGCAGGTCAGAAGGCAGTGGCATGAAATGTTCAAAGTGATGAAAAGCAAACACCCACAACTAAGATTACTCTACCCAGGATGGCTATCATTTAGAATTGAAAGAGAGATAGAGTCTCTCAGACAAGAAGAAGAAAATAAAGTATCACCAACACGAAAAAGCTAAAGGAGTTCATCACCACTAAAGAAATGTTAAAGGGACTTCTTTAAGAATAAAAGATTTAAAATATGAATGATAAAATATAGGAAAGAAAGAATTCTCACTGACACAGGGCAGTAAAAGCAGAAAATCAACCAACTATAAAGCTAATATAAAAGTTAAGAGGCAAAATTAGAAAAGTAATGTGTAATTACAACAATACATTAAGGGAAACACACACAAAAAAAGAAGTAAAATTAATGACAGTAAGGTAAGTGTGAAGGGAATGTGTCTGAACGTAAGTACCCATCAACCTAAAATTGCCATAAACATAGCTTGGCATACATGAGACACAGGGTAACCACAAACAAAAAAAAACTCAAACAGGTGTACAAGAAATAGAGAAAGGAATCCAAACACAACGCTATAGAAAATCATTAACATACAGGAAAAGAAAGCAAGAGAATAAAGGAACATAGGACTAGAAAAACTATCAGAAAACAATAAAACTGCAATAACTGCATAACTATCAATAATTACTTTAAATCTAAATGGACTAAAATGCTCCTATCACAAGACAAAGGATGGCTGAATGCATTAAAAAATGAGACCTGTACATGTGCTGCCTACAAGAGACCCACTTCAGATTGAAAGACACAATCTGAAAGTAAAGGGATAGAAAAGGATATTTCCTGAAAACAGAAGTGGGAAAAAAAAGCTGGGATAGCAATACTTATATCAAAAAAGATAGACTTCCAAACTTATGCAGACAACATAAATAACCAGTATGATTCCCTAACACCACCCACTGAATGTAATAAACTAATTATTTTGTTATTAGGTAGACATGGTTTAGAGTTTTGGAACATTCCCTATCCTAGTGAACAGAAACATGCAGTTCTAAGAATTATTGTGAGGTATATACCTGATTTAGTGATATAAATTAAAACTAATTTTCCTGTAGAAATAGTGATATTATAAGGAGTTCAAAAATTGAACAAAATGTTCAATTTTCACAGAGTGAACCACAAATATACAACTTACTGAACACTAAATATTTATACAAACTAAAACAATTGAAGAGAGGAACACCAACCATAACCAAATACAAAGTTGTTTTTTTTAAAATATATATATATATATTTTATTGATTTTTTACAGAGAGGAAGGGAGAGAGATAGAGAGTTAGAAACATCGATGAGAGAGGAACATCGATCAGCTGCCTCGTGCACATCTCCTACTGGGGATGTGCCCGCAACCCAGGTACATGCCCTTGACGAATCGAACCTGGGACCTTTCAGTCCGCAAGCCGATGCTCTATCCACTGAGCCAAACTGGTTTTGGCACAAAGTTGTTTTTTAAAAGATAAAGCTTACTGTACAAAACTGTTTTCTTCCTTTTTCATAATGTCTGACATTTTTATTGCAACAAGTCAGAAATTAATTTTCTTCTTTCTTCACCTCATTAGCCTAATTTATTATATAAATTAATGTATCTATAAGTAATCTACAAAGCATGTTTGACTTTAAATGCATAAACCCAACCTTATTTCCCCTTGCTTTTTCACCTTTTGACCTTATACCCATGCTATTTTGAGTCACAGTGGTTAAAACCTAAATGGCAAATTTAGTAGCAAAATTCAAAGACACTCTACAGTGAGTTTTATCGGGAATCTACAAATTCAAAAGTCAGCTTCTGGGTCAGTTCTTTCCCTTGAAACTGATGATAATGATGCCTAGTTCATCCTTTTCCCCCATAGTCAACGACTGAAAACAGTAGTTCATGGTTTTCAAACCAGAATTCCCACATTTAAATGAACGTGGTCTTCTCAGAAATGACTTTGGAGAGGTGTGCATCCTAATTCAAGCAGTGCTATCCTTACATAGGCATTTTCTGAATCTCCTTCCTTAGAAATACCTTCAGAGACCATCTACTCCTCCCGTAAGAAACTTGATTTCATTATTTTATATTCACTGGAAATCCTTTCTTTGATACATTTTTCTCCACACTCTCACTTCTCCCTGATTATCAGTGTGCCATCACCTTTCCTCTGTCTCACTTGGAGCTGGTAGTATGTCACAGTGAGGGTATGTAGATCTGCTGGCAAACTGAGTGATAGACATGAAATCTGCTGCAATAGCAGGCCAGTGTTTACAGATTGGTGCCATCTGGCTGAACTTTATACAGCAAATTATGGAAATTTCAATTTCTAGAATCAATGATTGTCTCAACTATTTGATGTTGGCAAGCTAAGATTCTATCCTAGTGAGAGAAATTCCTAGACAGTATTAGCAGTTCCTGTACTTCCATGATTGTGGAAATTATGTGGGAAGAAGACTCACATAGCTGATAGCTATGTGTATATATTAGGTTCATGTGTAATGCTTTGCATCTAGAAGGAGTACACACCCACTAAAGGCATATTTTCAACTTGGATTTATGACATGAATATGCTTGATACATAGTTTAAAGAAAGATCCTCTTTGAGGGTAGGGTATTCAGTCGGTGAGACAGGTATTTTATTTGAATTTAGATTTCCTCAGTTGAGGTTTTGAGCAGAGTATCCATTAAACAGCAGCTTTAATCCCAGTAAAGCTCAGAGCTGCTTTGTAAGGAAGGAGAGGTTGTGAATATTCCATTTTAATGCTGGTCCTCTTTTGTTGTCCCTTTTCCCACTGCTCAGCTCCTGAGAAGACTACTATTTTCTGTATTTCACAAAAACGAGTTCCCTCGCTGTGACAGCTAATAATCATTAAGGCATTCATTTGTTTTCATGTCATGTTCTAGGCAATTCATAGATGAGAGAGACATAAATCCAAATCACCCTTCCAAGGAGTAGCCGGGGAGGCCTGCTTGCCTTTGGATTAAGGCATGTTACACACACACTGACTATTTCACTCATGAGTGACTTGACGAATGGGTCCTGCGGGGTTCTTTTTTTTAAGGCCACAATAAACTAGTGATTTTTCTTGAGTGAGATAACACAGAACCTGTGTGCTCTCAGAACTATGTTCTTGTCAGCATTTTGGTTTGGTGGTCAGCAGCTTGGAATAATCACACCAGATGATGTTAATAAAGAGAATTAGAAGACCACGATTTATCCATTTAATCAATAATTACTAATGAGGTCTTGCTAGGTACAAAAAATAAAATGGATTAATAATAGCCACTCATATTGATTAAGATCTTGCTATAACCTAAGCACTATATCACTTACTTTGTATATATCATTTCATTTAATCCCCCCAATGACTCTATGAGGTGGGGACTTTTGGCCCTTAAAGAAGTTACATAATTTTCTGAGATTACAGGTCTAAAAATTAGCAAGGCTACGGTTTGACTGCAAAGCCCAAGTATTTAGTGTTATAATATACTGACCTCTGGGACAGAAGGAAAGTCATGTTCTCAAGAACCTTATACTAGTTTTATTCCTGGTCCATTTTCAAGTCCTTGATAGAATCTCTGGTGCTTTAGTGTGCCTCCAATCAAATCATTTAAATCAACTTTACTGGATCCCTACACTTCACAATATTGTCCTGGCTCCAAGAATATAAAAATATCCAGGACATCTGTTCTGCTTCAAAAAAACAAAAAACAATAAAACCCTATAGTTGAAAGGAGAAGGCATACATGCATGGAGCCAACTCTAGGACAAATGGTATGGCAACTGTGAAGTGTAGCGGCATCCTAGGGAGAAGGGACTGAGTCTGTGAGAAGGTTGATTAGGGCATCTTCCCAGAAGATGTGCCATTTCAGTTGGCACAAGGATGAGCACTACTTACACTTTTAAAGAAATGATTAGGGAATCCCAAAAGAAAAGGGAAGCTGAGCAGAGGCATGAACGCATGCAGGGAATAGAGTCTACCATGACTATCGCATGGGATGTGAGATTATGTTCAGGGCATTATGAGAGAGCATACATATTCACTACAAAAGTAATGTATTTATATGTGTGCATCGTCTCTGTGTGTGTGTATATCATCAATGAAAGAAGCCGTGCCTTACCTATAACTTATGCTGATCATGCAATGTTATCTTTCACCTATTTCTCTGATGCATTGATGCTCTGTTTGATGATTCTGCACAAAAAGAACTAGAACAAAAGGCCTGACTGTACTTGTTTCAACATACCCAGGGTTTTTCAGTGTATCCTAACTTGAGTGATTATGACAGTGCAGGGCCAACTAAAGGCGCTTACATCTGCAGGAAACTCTGGGAAGTAGAGCGTTTAGTGCAGAGGTGACAGGAGTTCTAACATAGAATTTGCTTTCTGTTTCAGGTGCATGGTTGGCTACGTGAATGCCAGCCTGTCTGTGTTTCGAATCGCTGACTTTGAGAACCGGTCTGAGCCTGAGTCTGATGGCAGTGAGTTCTCGGGGACTCCGCTCAAATACTGCAGGTGAGCGGGGCACTCAGCCTAAGATGAGGCTGCTCTGCCACAGAGGGATTTTGCGCGGACAGCCCTTTCCGACTGAGTTGGTTTAAAACAGTGGTTCTCAACCTTAATAGTCATTAAAATCCCCTGGAGAATTTTAAAATCTGACATCCAGATCCAGAAAGCCCATAGAGTTCCAAATAAGAGGAACTCAAAGTGGCCCACACCAAGATATTATAATTAAAATGTCAGAAGTTAAAGACAAGGGTAGAATATTAAAAATTGAAAGAGAAAAATAATTTGTTACATACAAGGGAACTCTTTGCTGATCAGGAGTGACACGATATATTAAAAATGCTCAAACGAAAAACCCACAATCAAGAATACCCAGCAAGCCCTGGTAGGTGTTGCTCAGAACATCGGCCCACGGACCAAGGGTGACAGGTTTGATTCCCAGTCAAGGCCACATACCTGGGTTGCAGGTTCATCCCAGGCCCCAGTCAGGGCAAGTGCAGGAGTTTGGGTAGGGGAACCAATTGATGTGTCTCTCTCACATTGATGTCTTTCTCTCTCCTTCCCGCCTTCCACTTTCTCTAAAAACTCAATGGAAAAAATATCTATCTATTTATGACAAAGGAGCCAAGAATATACAATGGTAAAGGACAGTCTCTTCAATAAATGGTTCTGGGAAATAGGACAGCCACATGAAAAAAAAAAAAGAAAGAAAGAAATTGGGCCAATACACAAAGATGAACTCAAAATGAAATAAAGGTTTGAATATAAGACCTAAAATCATAGCACTCCTACAAGTAAACATAGGTGGTAAGCTAGCTGACATTGGTCTTAATGATGATTTCTTGAACCTGACACCAAAAGCAAAGACACAAAAAAGAAAAACAAGTGGGACTACATCAAACTAAGAAGCTTCTGCACAGCAAAGGAAACCATCAACAAAATGAAAAGGCTACCTACAAAATGGGAGAAAACTATTTGTAAATCATATGTCTAATAAGGGTTTAATATCCAAAGTATATAAAGGACTCATACAACTCAATTGCAAAAAAATAAACAATCCAATTTAAAAATGGGCAGATCCTCTAAATAGAAATTTTTCCATAGAAGACATACAGATGTCCAACAAGTACATGAAGAGATGTTCAACATCACTAAGCATAAGAGAATGCAAATCAAAATCACAATGAGGCCAAAACCAGTTTGGCTCAGTGGATAGAGCGTCGGCCTGCGGACTGAAAGGTCCCAGGTTCGATTCCGGTCAAGGGCATGTACCTGGGTTGTGGGCACATCCCCAGTAGGAGATGTGCAGGAGGCAACTGATCGATGTTTCTCTCTTATCGATGTTTCTAACTCTCTATCTCTCTCCCTTCCTCTCTGTAAAAAATAAATAAAATACATTTTTTTAAAAAAAATCACAATGATATCACCTCACACCTGTTAGAATAGCTATTATAAAAAAGATGAAAAATAAGTGTTGGTGAAGATGTGGAGCAAAGGGGGTCCTTGTGCACTGTTGTTGGGAATGTAAATTGATGCAGCCACTATGGAAACAGCATGTACATTCCTCAAAAATTAAAAATAGAAATACCATATTATCCAACAATTCTACTACTGGGTATTTCTCTGAAGAAAAACAAAAAGATACCTTAAAAAAAAAAGATATCTTCATCCCACATTTACTGCAGCATTATTTATGATATCCAAGACATAGAAACAATCTAAGTGCCCACAATGGATGAATGGATAAAGAAAATGTGATGTATATCACAAATATATATATATATTAATATAATATTACTCAGCCTTAGAATAGAAGGAAATCTTGCTATTTGCAACAGCATGGAATACCTTGAGGGCATTGTGCTAAGTGAAATAAGCAGAGAAAAAAATTGTATGATCTCACTTGTATGTGGAATCTAAACACAAACATACAAACAAACAAACAAAAATCCAAACTCATAGGTTCAGAGAACAGATTGGTGGTTGCTGGAGTTGAGGAGGAGGATAGGCAAAATGTGTGAAGATTTTCAAAATATGTAAGTCCTGGGGGTGTGATGCACATCATAATAACTGTAGTTAATAATACTGTACTATATACTTGAAAGTTACTAAGGACATAGATCTTAACAGTTCTGACCACAGGGGGAAAAATTGTCTTGACGAATAAATAAAGGCAGAACTCAGGGTGGTAGCAGACCTTGCAACTGACTTTTACTCAAAGGGCATTTGCTGAGCTGAATACACTTGAGCTTTGTTTTTCAAGACCTTCCATGGTTAAGAAAGTTGAGAGAAAAGAGAAAAATGACCATCCTTGTGAGTATAAATCCAAACATACACTACATAAAACAACAACAATATATTCATACTAGGATCTATTTTATAGCAGTGGAAATAAATTAGCTCTAGGCAACAGCATGGATGAATTTAGTAGCATGATACTGAAAAAAAAAAAAAGCAAGTCTCAGAAACTAAATAGAGTATGATATCCTTTCTAGAAAGTTCGAAAATAAAACTACACAGTAAAATATTAAGACAAATGAATATACATATTTATACATAATATATATCTTAATTATAAAAATGAAATTCAAGATAAGGGGGTTAAGGGAAAGCGATGCAAGAGCACAAAAGTCAATGTAAGTTCCTGGTCATGTTTAATTCTTCAGTCGAATAGTGGATTTATGAGAGTTTATTATATTATTAAAGTATTAACTGAATAAAAAGTTACAGAAAAAAAAGAGCATGAATAGACCAATTAGGTTAGTTATAAACATTTAAGAATTATGATTAAGCCAACTCTGTGCACCTGAGGGCCCAAATAATATTCTACAGAAATGCGAAGGATGAAGACTAGTCAAGACACTTTTGAAGAATATTAATGAGGTGGAGATTTACCTTAGGTTAGACTTAGTATAAAATTATAGTAATCAGTCCAGTGATGTCATAGGGAACAGATCAACAGAAAATGGAATAGAATTGAGAACTCAAAAATAAATTCCATAATAAAGATGTAATCACACATAGCACAATATGATTCCGTCTGTACAGAGTTCAAAGCAGACAAAAGCAAGCACCGTTTTCTTTAGGGACACTTACATGAGTAGTATCACTATAAAGTTCGAAAATTATCACAGTTACCTCCAGGGGTGTCTGGGATTGCCAGTAAGGCATTTCTTAGCCACTGACCATGCTCTAGGTCTTAATTTGGATGGGGACTACATGAGGTTCACTTATCATTCTTTCAACTGTACATACACTTTCATTTTCATAGTTTAAAATTAGGAATAAATGAACTATACCCTGTGCAGGAAAAATAACGTTTGCAAGCTGATCATCCGTTTCTTGAGAAATCTAAGCAGCTTTAGAGAATACACTAACTTAAATCAAAAGGGAACATTCCACCTTTTTCTGTGTGTAAATTGAAGCCAACAAATTGGAAGTGTTTCTTTCTGAAAATAACTGACTCACTTGAAAAAAATTGCTCCAAGCATTAATGCCACTGGGATACTTAATGTCTTTGAAGGTACTAGACTGAAAGATTAGAGGAGTAACACCGATTTAATTAGCTTTGAAGCTTGGCTTCTGGCTGTTTCTACAGCAGGACAGGGAAGTGTTTTCTTTGTACAAGTGCCAGGGACCATGTAGCCCGTCATTATGCAAAGAAATAGCGCTGCATCAGAAACAGAGACATGGGGCACAAATGGGCATGGCCCTCCCTCAGACCTCTGCCTCATGGACAAGTCCAACAGGACCAGCGGGGCCAGTGGGACCAGCGGGACCAGGGGTGGGCTGGAGCACGAACTGAGAGCTCCACTTGCAACAATCAGAAAACTCATTGAAGAGGGCGAGTCCAAAATGTTAGAGCAGGGCAAGATGGAGATCCTAATTTTGTTAATAGGGAAAACATAGCTACAGAAGCTTCATGAATTACTCGAGATTATATTAGGCAAATCCCAAATTGGTTCTAGGATACTTTCCTGTGCACAATTCTGGAGATAGCTGCGGGCAGCGAATCAGATGACAGCCAACTCATTGGCACCACTGAGTTGTTAAAAAAAAAATTTTAATTGATGAGAGAGAGAGAGAGGGGTGGGGGGAGGGAGAGAGAGGTCAGAGAGATACATCAATCAGTTGTCTCTTAAACATGCTCCAACTGGGGATCAAACCCACAACCTACGTATGTGCCCTCACCAGGAATCGAACCGGCCACCATTCCATGTATGGAATGACACTCCAACCAATAGAGCCACACTGGCCTGGATGACACCACTGAGTTTTAATTCCCTTAAAAATCATTGTGTTCCTCTGGGCACAGGTTAGCAGAGCCCCGTGATGGATCCAACAGTGGACATATACTACACCTAGGCTGAACATATAGATGCATATTCTTAACAACTGGATCCTTACCTAGAAATTATCTAAAATGTTGCCAAATAACCATAGCCATGAGTTATGTGTTTTCTTATGTTAAAAAGAAAATGTAAAGAATAATTAATTTAAAAAAATTTTCTCCCATGAATAAGGGCTACATAGTGGGAATGAAAGCGATCTGGGAGTCAGGAAAATCCTAGTTTGGAATGTGACATTCTCCTGTATGTTTATAGATACCGGGACTACCGGGACCCTCCTCATTCACTGGTGCCCTATGGGTACACACTGCAGTTCTGGCATGTCCTAGCAGCTCGACTGGCTTTCATCATTGTGTTTGAGGTAAGTTTTCTCAACTGTTCCTGTGTGTCCTTTGACGTAACTAGAAATAATTAGTAACTGTAAGGTATGAGAACTTTCAAGTGATTATGCATGTCCAGGAGCAGTAGCATAATGTCATATGACCTCTTTATCTTCTTTTTCTTCTCCTTAATCAAAGTCCTTGAATTTTCCAAGAAATATTTCAAAGTCTATTGTAGATTGTTAATGGATAAGTCAGGAATTATTGGTCCTAAATTTAATATTCTAGGGTCATGTTTTTAAACTTTAGGAAAATTGCTCTTTTTCCATCCCTGTTCACAGAAATACTGATAACATCATGTCTGCAATTTGCTTTTCACATGCCCTTCGAGGCGGTCCTGATGCAGATGTTCGAGGGCCATAGTTTGGAAAACATTGAATGGGTATTACAAGTGGCAGCCTCTGGTTGTGTAGCATCATGACATTCCTTATGCTCAAACACACAAATACGTATTCATTACCTAGTGAATAGACTTAAAAAGTATAATTATACTCAAATAGCATAATCTACCCAGTAATTGCATGTATCATGTGTCAATTAAAGTTACCTACTACCTATTTTCTTTTTGTCTTTAAGAAAATTGCTGCTAAAAATAGTTTATATTTCTATAACTATACTTATAAATAGAAAATTCATCTCCTGTCACAAATATTAAAGCCAAATTAACACAAGCAAAGGCTGCCTTTTGGCTTGGACTAGAAGCTTCTTATACCTCTTGAAACTATTCCATCACTGTTTTTTTCCCCCTTCATTTAAGGGAACCAAGAAAAGACAATATTAAGCTGCTCTTCCCTGGGAATTAGTTTATCAATGACTCATTCTCTCTTTAAAGAAATTTCTAATCCATCACTATCTTAAAACTTTTCAGACAAAAGTGGGGTTGCATTAAGAAATTATTTGGCTTATCAACTAGAACTTTCCATTTATTTTCAATATATTGCAATTAAGCTATTTTAATATAGTAGAAACATACAAAAAAATCCTCTTAATTGGAAGGATCAAATACACCAAGTTTTAAATAAAATTAAGAATACTTAGTGGTATCAAAACAGCAAAAAGAAAAAAATAATTTAAAAAATGAGGATAGTGAAGGAGCCTTTGGGCCAACTTCAAGCATCCCAACATTTGCATCATGGGGTGCCAGAAGGAGAAGAGAGAGTGCAAGAAATTGAAAACCTATTTGACAAAACGACAGAAAACTGTAAAGGTAATATACATACAAGTCCAGGAAGTGCAGAGTCCCAAACAAGATGAACCCAAACAGGCCCACTCTAAGACACATCATAATTAAAGTGCAAAAGACAGAGAATCTTCAAATCAACAAGTGAAATACAGTTAGTTACCTACAAGGGTACTCTCATAAGACTTTCAGCTGATTCCTCAGATGGCAAAAAATATTCATTCAAAGTGGTGAAAGACAAGGATCTACAACCAAGATTACTCTTTCCAACAAAGCTGTCATTTACTAGACTAGAATCGAGGGTCATATGAAGAGTTTCCTACACAAGAAACAGCTAAGGGAATTCATCACCACCAAGCCAGTATTACATAAAATGTTAAAGGATCTTCTAGAAAAAGGAGGAAGAGGAGAAGGAGGAAAACTAAAAATATGAACAATAAAACGGCACTAAGTACACATCGATCAATAATAGAATCTTTTTAAAAAAATGAACAAGCAGAACAGATACAGACTCATAGATACAGAGAACATTTTGACAGTTGCAAGACGTGAGGGGTGTTGGTGAAAAAGGTGAAGGGATTAAGAAGTACAAATTTTGGTTGTTACAGAATGGTCACGAGGATACAAAGTACAGCACAGAGAATATAGTCAATAATATTCTAATTACACTGTATTTTGATGGGTGTGAGATTTATCAGGATGATTACTTTTTAAGTTATATAATGTCTAATTACTGGGGCATATACCTGAAACTAATATAATAATGTATTTCAACTATAATTGAAAAATAATGATTTTTAAATGAAAAAAAATAAAACATTTTTCTATATAATTTTCACAACAACACCCATTTTATAGATAAGAAAATTGAGGCTCAGAATGACTTTCCTCGGGTAGATAGACAGCTCTTATGTAGTAAAAGTTACAGAGCTGACATTCAAACCTGGGTTTTCGGATTCCCTAGTATACATTCTGGCTTTCTTTTGCATTCTCCGACCAGTCCTTCTCCACCTCCTTTTCTGGCTCCTCTCCTCATTCCTTATGTGGTGCCGTCAGACCAAGTTCAGTCCTCACCTATCTTGAGATCCTCTTTCTTCGCACACACCTCCCCTGGCCTCATCCCACGTTCCAGAGGCTCCATGTCCCTGGAGTGAGACTTCTTGAACCAACTCCCAGAGCTCTTCCCAGCTAAGGATGGACAATACACCTGACTCTCTGGCATTCTCCTCTGTGTTTTTAGCACCTCGTGTTTTGTATAAAGCACCTCATTTCATATCTGATCCCAGACCTCCCAAAAGACCTAAGGGATCGAATGAGAAGAGAGAAGTACTTGATTCAGGAGATGATGTATGAAGCAGAACTGGAGCGTCTCCAGAAGGAACGAAAGGAGAGGAAGAAAAATGGCAAAGCGCATCACAACGAGTGGCCGTGACAAGGTAGGTGAGAGATGTGCTCCTGGTCTGAAATTTCTCCTTTGTTGAGAGGAAGAGCTTTAAACTCCCTGAGTCGAAGCTTGCTATTCTACTACTGAGAGGGATCAAAATAACTCCTTAACTTCCAATACCAGCTTGTTTCCTACTTTAATTGCAATTACAACTCGATATGCCTTTTACGCACAATGCCTGCAACTCTTCTCTGCCTCCATGCCACACTCCGGCATGTCAGTCAAAGTGTTCATGAGTTGGCCTAGGAGTTCCCTGAAATAAGCCTTCTTCTCCCTTCTATTCCAGCCTAGCTATTCCCTTTAAGATCCCCAGGGCAACATGCCCCTTCTTTCATCTCATCCAAGATGACCTCTCCATCACCCATTTATTGCTTCCTCCTAAGGTGATCCATGTCACACCATACCCTCTAAGAAGTTTTCCCCAGACTCATCACCCCATTGAAACTCTCTCCTTATAAACATCTCTGATCATTGCATCAGTATCACATGTATTGGCATGTATTGATCTGTATTGCTAATTTATTATTTTTTCAAATATTTATCAGGCTTCCCCAGCACAGTTGTAAGCACCTTTAGGAAAGACTCTATGGGTATTTATTTATTCTTACAACTAGTTAGCACATGGCACCATTTAAGTGCACATTGAATTAGTAAAGGTTGGATGATGAAGTCTAAAAACATTGTAAGAAAGTTCCATAATGTTCCCATATATCTTATCAAAAAGTTCTTCTGAAACCTTGGCAAGTCAATTACTAGCTCTGTGTCTTTGGACAAGTCACTTAACTTCTCTGAGCCTCAGTTTCCTCATGATGGAATGACTAGATGAGCTCTCAGCTTTGATGCTCAGTGAATATAATGTAGCATTTCCTTTTCTTAA